TAAATAGCTTTAAATTTATTAAGTAAAAATTAAGGTTTTAAATTTTTTTAAAATATTATTTATTTTATTTTATTAATAACATTATATATATATATATTTTTTAAATTTTTAAAAAAATTATATACAATATTATATACTATATATATTTTAAAACAATTATTATTTATTACCAATACATTATACAGGTTAATATCAACCTAAACCACAAAACAAATTTTTATAAATTTTTATATATCAACTTTAATATGATTTAAACCCAATTCAAATAGATTGATATTAATGAGAGTAACCTGTATTATTATTTTTACTTAACTAATTATTTAGTTTGTTTTAATTTTATATTAATCAAAACAAAACAAATAGCAACTGGTTAAAGTTAGACTAGAGTTTGACCAGAATAATAGCTAAAACCATCTTTAACCCAATATTTCACAAGAAATTTTTTGTTAGAATAAAAAAGAAGGTTTATAAACAAAATTTTAAGTTTACGTTACATTCGATCCTGCATCTTGATTGGTCGATCAGGGGTAGAGATGCGATGAATGAATTTTTTCAGTATATATATATAAAATTTAGTGTATTAACTTATTTGATTTATAAATAATAGCAATAAAAACCCATGTATAAAAACATATTCTGTAACTAAATAAAATATTTAATACAGTAATTTATTTTGTATAACAATCTTAATAATGCAATCAATAACCTTTTTTGATAACAGCTAATTCAATACGTAATACGTATGTTAACTATGTAAATCGGTTATACTTTTTTTGAATAACGCACTATCTTCCAGTCATATTACTGAATGTTATATACGTATAAAGATAACAATCAAACAAATAATTAAACCCAATATGTATACAGTGCCAATGCACAAAATTTCCGGGTGATGTAACCTGCTTTTTTGCCGGCAATTTCTTTTTTAATCGGAGGTTCAGACATAATAACCAATAAAATTTGTCTAAGTAATATAAAATTTCCGACTGATGAAAAGTCGAGGCGGAAATTGTCTTACGTAAACGAAAATCTCCGGCATTTTTGTGTCCTGTACAGTAACATAACGATAATATGATCATGACTCGACAAGTCATTGACTTGGCTCACAACTCGACAAGTCATTGCCACACTTTTGAGTCAGGCTTCTCTCGATTCAGTTCATTCAGAGCCTGAGTTGATTCAAGTCGTACCCATCTCTAATTTTAGAGTTATAACATTGAAAGTTTTGTAAACAAATTCACTATATCGAAAAAAGTTTAATATACACTAATCTTTAAATTTTAATATTAACTAATCTTCATTGTATTGATTGATAAATTACTAAAACGAGAGGGTGTTGTAATTAAGATTATCAGATTATCAAATTATCATTTCAATTGGTTATGCATCGTGCTATCACTATCGTGCTTTGTAAGGCACGTGATAAGCAAAATTATATAAATAATATTTCATTCATCCACTTGTAATCATGATTCATTGTTTCTATAAGTACGAAAACAAAGTTAGATAGTAAGGTTGCCTACCATGTCCCAAAATAATAATAAGCAGGCTCTTAACGTTAAAGATGCTTTGTCATATCTCGATCAGGTGAAGGTGCAATTCTCAGAGCAGCCGGATGTGTACAATAGGTTCCTTGATATAATGAAAGACTTTAAAAGTCAGGCTATAGACACGCCCGGCGTCATTGAGCGAGTATCATCTCTTTTCAAAGGGCATCCTGCTTTGATACAAGGATTCAATACATTTTTACCTCCCGGGTATCATATTGAGTGCTCAACCAATCCTCACGATCCTGATTCCATCCGTGTTACGACACCTAGCGGGACTACAACAACCTCAATTGGTCCTATGGATCCACACCACGGACCGACACTTTCTACTGTATCAAATATTACGAGTTCAGGATATTATTCAAATGCTAGTTACCCACACCCTCCACCTCATTCTTTAATGCCAACGTTG